CATTCTTTTGTATAATCCACCATTTAGTTAGACATAAAATCAGTCAACATTTATTAAACTGCTACTGTGAAATACAAATGTTAAGTGGATAAGGTCTCTACTCTCAAAGAGTTCATAGTCGAGTAGGAGGAAAGGAGATAAAACTGGGTAAAGGTGGGAACGTGGAGATGCTGTAGGAAGGTGCTTGCTGCCCAGCACTGAAGGTTCCCAATATGCAGTAGAATGGGACCCTGAAAGAGAAATAGGGATGTCACCATTGCAAAGGCCTTTGAGCTTATCTCAACCTTGAGAAGAGGACAAAGGAGGATGAGAAATGAACATGTAAACAAAGTGAGGCAAACACCTTAGCAGCGAATGGAGTGGATGGGTCACTTGAACTCCATTATGATAGTCAGATTGGGCCAAAATTGCAATCACTCCAACTCAGTTACTCAAAAAAAAAATTGGAAACCTTTTGACTCACCTTTTTTATTATTTTTATAACATCAATGTACTCTGTACCCAAAGGATGAAATGTTCACCACACTTGAAAAACAAAGTCTTTTCAAACTGAAGGGAGTAATTCTAAGAAAAACAAGCAGTATCCTACCAATGAACAAGGAGAGAATAAATGGCATGCAATTTGGAAGGAAAGCTAAGGGGAACTATTTGGGGGATTCAGTTCAGCTAGCAATTTTCCTTTATGACCTAAAAGATTTACTTAGTCTCAAGTCACCATAGGAAAACCATAAACTTGTTTGAAAATGTGGAGGGGGAGGCCATGTGAAAAGCTATTCTTACCTATACAAATAAAAATAAAATGGGACTCAGTATGGTTAAAATAAGGATTCCTAAATTCATCCGGCTAAAGACACAGTTCAAAATCGGGACTGTTTGAGAAAAATCTTTTTATATCTTCTGTTTCTGCAGAGTCACTGTCCCTTTGCTAACCATTTACTGAGCCCTTCTTATATGAAGGCATTCTATTCAAAGTTGTGAAGAACATAAATATGAATAAGCCAGAGTCTCTGACCTCAGCGCTTATAAAAAAAGATTTTGTTATGATATCTCCAGTTTCATCTTCCACATCTCAATCGAAACCAAAAAAACTTTCAGTTCCCAAATTATCTTCCCATGCTATCTGGAACCTGGCCTTTTATCTTCTTCACCTCTGAGCCCTGTCACTATCCTCCATTCCAACCCCAGCATTTCCCAAGAGCTAAACTGTGCTTCAGCTTAAAAACACTGACACAGAAAGTAGTTTATTTCCTCTGATTTGTGTCTATGGAGAAAGCCAGAAGAGCAGCTCAGTTCATGGGAATTGGGTAGACATAACATCTCTATCAGTCCAGGTATGACATGTGGTCAGAAACAAGATAGTACGTGTAGAAGAGACCCAGGCTTTGTGAGGCAGGGGTAGGAGAAGACTGGAGAAGCCATGCCATAGTCCTGGGCTCCCTAAAGTCTCTCTGAACACCTCTTCTTTGGTTGAGAAACACTGAGAATGCTAGAGGTGCTTGCTCCAGAAAATAAGTCTGAAGTATGAAAGAAGAGAGAGACTCCCCCTAAAAATCCAATTACCTTTGATAAAGCAGACTTGCTTAAGAGGGTGGGCCTCTCAATTAATTGTGCTTTTTCCTTTTTGCCCCATTTAGATGTTTATGGGGACAAAGGTCTTACTTTCTAGAATTCTTTTGTCATTTTTCAGTGTTTACAACTAAAAGTATAGAAATCTAGCAATCTGGCTTCCTAAAACTATAAGTAATTTATGCCTATTCCACAAAGGAATTTAATTGTATCCAAAGTTAAGAAAAAGTATATGGGGACTTTTGTGGACTATAATTTATACTTATCTTTATACTAGAGGCCCAGTGCACGAAATTCATGTACTGGGGGAGGGGGGTGTCCCTCAGCCCAGCCTGCACCCTCTCACAATCTGGGACTGCTGGCTCCCCACCACTCGCCTGCCTGCCTGCCTGATTGCCCCTAACCACTTCTGCCTGCCAGCCTGATCCCCCCCTAACCGCTCCCCTGCCAGCCTGATTGATGCCTAACTGCTCCCCTGCCGGCCCGGTTGCCCCCAACTGCCCTCCCCTGCAGGCCTGGTCGCCCCTAACTGTCCTCCCCTGCCGGCCATCTTGTGGCTGTAGACGCCTCCATCTTTGAGGGTGGGATGGTCAATTAGCATATTCTCTTCTTATTGGCTGTGGGTGCCACCATCTTTGAGGGCATGGCAGTCAATTAGCATATTCCCTCTTTATTAGATAGGATAATAATTGATCTTCAAATCATGACTAAGAGAATAACTACATTATTCTTAGTTATCTATCAATATCATCAGACTTCTTTAGAGAAATAATGGCTATCAAAGAGATAGTTAGGACATTGCACATATATGTAAATATATATATAACTTTTAAAGTTGCAGTTGTATTGGTTATATTTACTCTTTGTACCTTATGCGCCTTAGCCAATAGATCTGAGACCTAGAACTAGAGACGAAGTCATTAAAATGCACTGCTTACTTAATGCTAGCCTGTTACACTAACTTCTGTGAGTATAGTGTGGTGCCATACTTGATGGTGACCTTCACCCTCCATGAATGTTTATAATGCATTAGAATCCAGACCTCATTTGACATGAGAATGACACAGCCTGGAGATAAGCATTGTTGCTAAGTCAGGACAATCACATCACTCTGGTGATATCACACTAGATGGGTTCATTACACTTAGCACATATGGTTAAAAGGGCAAGTTCTACCAAGAAATATACATTAATGTATGGGTCCTTTGGAAGCTCTTATATACACAAAGCTTTTACATGATCAAACTATAAATGAAATACAAGTCCTAGAAAACTAATCACATTTTCAGAAAAAGTACATGGCGAATTTTGTGGACTCAGAAGGGTTCCCAGAATCAGTGATGTTTAACAATGTCTTCATTTTCTAGTATATTATATTCTGTGTCAGTGCTTTCAACTACATTTCCAGATGGTAAAATTGACTTTTATACCAGAAAATATTATAAATCACTCCTAAACTCAAATAGACCACAGCATTTACAAAAATTTAAATATATTTTATCCCAGAAATATGAAAGGCTCATAGTCCCTCAACATCAAAAAATATTTCAACATAAATAAGATGGATGATACCCAAGAATGTTCAAATTCAGAAAAAATTCAAAGGTACTGAGAGTTTCACTCATCAGTTAAAGGGACATCCCCCTCCCACCCCACCCCCCAAAAAAGGTTAAGACCAAAACATAGGTTAAGACCTTAGATAATTTGATTCCTAGAAGAATCTGTGAGTCTGTATACATGTAACACTAAACTTATACTAATTGAAGAAATTTCTATCACTGTAACTTAAACACTAAAAGGAAATGGGCATTCTCCAGGCTTACCCCTTGATAATGTCTGCATATTACTATGTATGAAAGTCAAATCACCAGTTCTATGTCAAAATCCTAAACTCCAGTGAAGATCTGAGGTTTATCCCTGTAGGATGAACATGCAAAAGTACCAAATTGCCTCTTAGTTTTTAGTGCCCGAATGATCGCTAAATGTTTCCATATTCTTCCTTCAATATTAACAGTATTGCATTTTTTTCTTCCCATATTTACCATTATTCATAGGTCTCTTGCCATCTTCCATAAGTTCTAAGCTATAATACCACTGACACTGTGCTAAAGAAATAATAAAGTGAAAGTGAGTAGAGTCACATAAAATATTTTGATTTGGTAATACTCAAAACACTTCATTCATATTTTATATCTCTTTTAAAATACAGCCTTGCAAATCAGTATTTTAAAATCTAGAGATTTTTAGGCTTATCTTTTTTATATAATGCATAGAAAACTAATGACTATGCCCATTTTAAGAAAGGCCAATATAAAATCTTGTGAAAAACTAAGGCAATTAATTTAATTTAAGGATTAACCACTTTTAGATCATCAGTATATTTTTTCCCTTAATCACAGAAATAGAACTTAAGGAAGTCTGGATTTAAGAGGCACAGAATTACTGATAGTAAATGGATGGCTGCCACTGATAGAGACCTACTAAAAATCAAACTGAGCCCTAGCTCGTTTGGCTCAGTGGATAGAGCATTGGCCTGTGGATTGAAGGGTCCTAGGTTCCACGGGCTTTCGGGTTCAATCTCCGGAGCAGGGCGGGGGGCGGGGAGGGGGGGGGCATGCAAGAGGCAGCCAATCAATGATTCTCTCTCATCATTGATGTTTCTATCTCTCTCACCCTCTCCCTTCCTCTCTGAAATCAATAAAAAATATTTTTTTTTAAATTTAAACTGAAAAAGTTCTGAAATTACAGAACAAGCCTATGGGAAAGTATCATTGAAACAGAAATCTGCTTTACATATAGATTTTCACAAACATATCTACTAGATATGTAGGTAATATGACAGCTAATATAACAATATTTTGTACTCTTTCAAAATAATGTTTGTTATGCACTACAAAAGCTTAAAGCATTCCAAGGAAGTGTAAGTAAGGGTGAGCGCCAGTAGGTGACTTGAGCTTTTAAAGAGGGAGAAAGGAGTGTTTATCCCCACACACAGATGCATGTGCTGTCACCACAAAACACTGACTGGCTAGTCCTAAACAGAATGTGTTTTCTCAAAATCAAAAGCCACCATTCCAGGTCTTAGTAGGAGCTTAAGGTCCAAGGGAAGAGTGGGATTGGTCCTTAGGGACAGTGATTCAATAGGTATTATTTCCTACATATGGAAAGTAGTGAATAATTCTAAAACTGTCCTAGGAGAAGGAAAAAAGGCTTGAGCTTTAAAAATTGAAGTTGGCTGCATTGAAAATGTTCACAATGCTAAAAGGCTCATTCCCCATCCTGGTATTTTTTTTTCTTTCTTGCCCCTGCCCTATTATTTATTGGTTTATTTTTTGGTAGGCTTGCTCTTCTTATTTTGTTGCAAGGCTGCATTTTAACTTATCTGATTCTGCAGTTTAACACGGCCTGTGACACCTGTGTTCATTTGTTCTCAGCTGGTGAATGAACAGCAAGAAAGCAGACCCCTCCTGAGTCCCTCCATCGATGACTTTCTCTGTGAAACCAAATCGGAGGCAATAGCAAGGCCAGTAACGTCCAACACAGCTGGTAATTCTTTCACTTTTAACTGATCCTCGGGTGGAGTTCATTTTCACTGAAGTAAAATACACGTTTTCTTCCCACAATGCATTTTAACTGGAGAAAAATGTTTGCAACTGACTAAAACTTTAGAACATTTATTATTCAACATAAGCCAATGAATCACTTTTCATTCTGCTGTAAGAAACTGCGATGTATATATATTACACAACCAGTGTTGCTGAACATTAGCGTGCCACTATTAGCAATGAATGGTTTTTCCATACGTATTTTCGTATTTACATCTCACCTCAAGTCACATCACAGTAGGAAACCTTTAAAACAAAAGCATCTATTTCAGAGTAAGGGTTTTCAAGTTCTGCCTGGAAATACTTTGTCTGACAAAAGTCGAGTAAAGTAAAAATATAGGCCACCCCTTCAAGTGGATTGAAATGACAACTAAAATGTCTTAGAGACTTGGGATATTATAGGCACTAACAAGTATTCATCCACTGAGGGATGTAAGAGGCCTCAGGTATGAATGCCACCTCCTCAAGTACCCTCTGCATTTTCCAATTCTCATTGATACTAAAACTAAGTCACTTAGGTAGGGCCCACCCTGAGGGAGCAACAAAAGATTTGACTCAAAAGCTAATTTTCACCTTGGATATCAGAGGCAGCTTTCAGCATTGATTTCATTCAGTCAGCATTCACATTCAAAGGCATGTTGTTCAAATAAGAATGAGAAAATGATGTTCAGAATCAAAGAACAAAGGTTATGTTAGGTTGCGGGAGAGAATTTGACGGAGAAAGGAGGTGATAATCACATCCTGTCTTGTTAAATTCCTTCCATCTCCCATGGTGTCCTCAGCTGACTGTTGCCTGCTATATTTTCGTTATACGCTTAAGTACGTAAACAAAATCACAGGTAAAGGAAATTGTGATTTTTTTAAACAGGTGCTAAAAATTATAACAACAAAAGTAACTAATACAAGACAGAGACACTTTTGTGGGAGTGTTGTCTACAGTCTCTGGGGTCAAAGTTCATAATTTCAAATCTCAGCTCGGCCACTTAGCAGCTCAGTGTCCTCGGGCAAGTTGCTTAACTAGGTCTACTTCCTCATCCATCTAATAATAGTAAGATCTAGATCTTCTAGGTTACTTGGGAAGACTAAACGAAGCAATCTATGTAAGTCTTAACTCCAAGTGAGCTCAACAGGTATTACCATTCCTGTTAGCTATCAGTTCAAAAACAGGACACCCAACACTTCCCTTTTCAAATGCATTAACTTTCTGTATGTCACACCAAAGCAGTCATTTTCTACACTCAGCTATCACTTGGAGTAATCAAGCAAATGAAATTGTGTTTGCTGCATTTTAGGCAGGAAATTGGGTAAATTCACATGCTATCCGATCAGAGTCAGCCTCCTGATCTCTGAAACTGGAGTTTCCCCTCCAAAACTGTAGAGCTGCCCCCAGAAGAATCCAGAAGATGCTACAACTAAGTCACTTAGGAGGAGCCCACCAGAAAGAGCCACATGATATTTGGCTCAAAAGCTACTTTCCCTTGGTTTTTCTAACATAGGAGAGACCTGTGAAATATTGGAGGGAAATATCAAAAGAATGTGTCATCTCCTGCAATCCCAGTACCTACAGTATTGCCTCTATTATTAGTTTCTTAGGATTGCCATGGCAAAATATCACAAACTCCATAGATTAAACAAGAGAAATGTATTGTCTCCCAGTTCTGGAACCCAGAACTACAAAATCAAGGTCAGTAGGACCATTCTCCCTCTGAGGTGCTTGGGAAGGAGCTCTCCTAGGCCTCTCTTCTGGTTTCTGGCAGTTCCTGGGCTTGTGGCAGCATAACTGGAATCTTCACCTGACATTATTCCTGTGTGTGTCTCTTTCTGGGGAAGAGAAGTCTAAAAGTTTCCCCTTTTTATAAGGATACCAGTAGGTAGGCCCTACTCCATCATGAATCATCTTAACTAATTATATCTCCATTGACCCTATCACCTTCTTTTTAAAAAAATATATTTTATTGACTTTTTACAGAGAGGAAGGTTGAGGGATAGAGTCAGAAACATCGATGAGAGAGAAACATTCAGCTGCCTCCTGCGCAGCATAACTGGAATCTTCACCTGACATTATTCCTGTGTGTGTCTCTTTCTGGGGAAGAGAAGTCTAAAAGTTTCCCCTTTTTATAAGGATACCAGTAGGTAGGCCCTACTCCATCATGAATCATCTTAACTAATTATATCTCCATTGACCCTATCACCTTCTTTTTAAAAAAATATATTTTATTGACTTTTTACAGAGAGGAAGGTTGAGGGATAGAGTCAGAAACATCGATGAGAGAGAAACATCGATCAGCTGCCTCCTGCACACCCCCTAGTGGGAATGTGCCCGCAACCAAGGTACATGCCCTTGACCGGAATCGAAACTGGGACCCTTCAGTCCGCAGGCTGACGCTCTATCCACTGAGCCAAACCAGCCAGGGCGACCCTATCACCTTCTGAGGCACTGGGGGTTAACTTCAACAGATGAGTTTTGGGGGGAACACAACTCAATCCATAATGCCCTCAAAGTAGGGGGTTGGGAAAAGTGATATTTTGAGGCTGGATTTTCCTTTTCTCAGCCTCAGCATTCAGTACATCTGGGTCCCACAGATTCTGATCCTGAAGGAAGACTCTTATTTGATAGTGTGCTTTTTAATCTTAAAAATTATATCTCAAGGCAGAAACACTATATGTTTTTAATCCCTAAGGAATATAGTTCTTTTTTATTATTATTACAAAACTACAATTTACATCTCAATATGCAACATAAATCACATCTTTAAACAGAAAAAGTTTTAGCATTCAAGCATCCTGGAAAGAATTTTTAATTTGTTCCAATAAGTTTACAGTTAAATTTTTTAGGCAAGAGATAGAGTTACCATTTTCTTTCCAAATGTTTAATAAAAAGAATAATTTTAAAATGGAACATTGTCATTTTATAGAATAGCATGAAATTACATTGAGAAATCAGGACAGTCATTGTATATGACATTCTAGGCATTATACTTCAAAGGGATATTAAACAAACTTGGAGTAAAATATGGAAGAAACCCTGCTTCATGTTTGTACCAAGTCAATCAAGCTGAAATTTGAAGAACCTTATATTAAGACTAGTGGCCCTGTGCATGAAATTCATGCACAGGGGAGTGGGTGTTCCTCAGCCCGGCCTGCACCCTCTCCAATCTGGGACCCCTCGAAGGATGTCCTACTGCCGGTTTACAGGGATCGGGCCTAAACCAGCAGTCGGACATCCCTCTCACAATCCGGGACTGCTGGCTCCTAACTGCTCACCTGCCTGCCTGCCTGCCTCATTGCCCCTAATCCCTCTGCCTGCCGGCCTGATCACCCCCAACTGCCCCCCTGCTGGCCAGCTCACTCCAAACTGCCCCCCTGCTATCCTGATCACCTCCAACTGACCCCCACTGATGACCTATTGCCCCCAACTGGCCCCCTGCTGGTTTGCTTAACCCTAATGGCCCCGACCCCCACCAGCCTGATCACCCACAACTGCCCTCCCTTCTTGGCCTCTAACTGCCTCTACCTCAGCCCTGCCACCATGGCTTTGTCCAGAAGAATGTCCGGAAGGTCTCCTGGAAGGTCTCCCAGTCTAATTAGTATATTACCCTTTTATTAGTATAGAATAGAGGCCTGGTGCACGGGTGGGGTCTGGCTGATTGGCCCTGAAGGGTGTCCCGGATCAGGGTGGGGGTTCCCTTGGGACGTGGGGTGGTCTGGGTGAGAGGCCTGTGGGGGTTTTCAGGCTGGCCATGCCCCCATGGAGTGAGAGTCCCCGCTGGGGGGGGCGTGGCCAGCCTGGGTGAGGGGCTGAGGGCTGTTTTCAAGCTGGCCACACTCCCTTCAGGGTGGGGGTCCCAACTGGGTGCCTGGCCAGCCAGGGTGAGGGACTGATGGCTGTTTGCAGGCAGGCCACACCCCCTTCAGGGTGGGGGTCCCCATGGGGTGCCTGGCCAGCCTGGGTGAGGGGCTAAGGGCTGTTTTCAGGCTGGCCACAGCCCCTTCAGGGTGGGGGTCCCCACTGGGGTGCCTGGCCAGCCTGGGTGAGGGGTTGAGAGATGTTTGCAGGCTGGCCATGGCCCCAGGCAACCCAGGCTCCCAGACCCTCCTTGAGCGGAGGCCACAGCAGCTGGAAGCAGGTATCTGGGATTTATTTATCTTCTATAATTGAAACTTTGTAGCCTTGAGCAGAGCCCACAGCCCGCCAGGGCAGGCAGGAAGCTTGGCTTCCTCCATCACCAGGGGCAACCCAAGCCTCCTGTTTGCTCCAGATCTGTGGCCGCTGCCATCTTGATTGGGTTTATTTGCATACTCACTCCTGATTGGCTGGTGGGCGTGGCTTGTGAGTGTAGCAGGGGGGGGGGGGATGGTCAATTTTCATGTTTCTCTTTTATTAGATAAGATGAGAGGCATTTATTCTGGCTATTCCAATGAAAAATTAAAGTCAGTGTGCTACCATCTTGGCATTTACTTAAATGTTTAAGGAATATATTATATAAATTAACACAAAATAAACAATATAAGAAATATTCATCTCTTCCAAACATCAATTAAATAATGAGTTGGGTTTTTTTCTCTATTGACCCTAAAAATACATATCAATCTTTTTGCCTCATAGGCATTCTAAATTATAATTTTTTCTTAAGTATTTCAGGGATCTTTGCCTTCTGCTTGTTTTTCTACACACTTCTTGTCATCCAATGATGACAATTTCAAGCTGATCAAATAAGGGTGTTTTTTGTTTTCTTTGCTATTAACAATCTAAATCATCTTTAACTTATCTGTAACCTAGGTAGATAGCTAATTCTTTGACCTTCTCAAACTGTATCCATAGGTGGTAGGTAGGCCAAGATCATTGCTAATATCCTTGATTTAAATATGGCAAATAAATTATACACAGATGCATATGTTAAATGTTCTGAAAGTAATTATACAATAGATATGTTAAGATAG